ATATATATATACACATAGAGACATAGAGATATATAGCTATATATATATATATATATATATATATATATATATATATATATATATATATATATATATATATACACTATATAAGAGCCGTAGTCCTTCAATTTACTCTCCCATATTTTCTTTTTCATTTTCTTTCCACCACTCCGCCTATAAAACGCCGTCGTTTCGCTATATTCCACCAATCACTTGCGTGCATTAATTTCTTTTTGATTTAATTTCACGATGGACGATTGCAATCGACCATTCTGGTGGGCCAGATGTGATTTTCTTTGTGCTTTTAAATTTTTTTTTTCCTTCCCCTCCAGAATTTAAAATTTGGTGAAGTATGCAGAACGGAAAGGTGGAAAACATGTTTTTTTTTTTTTTTGAGTTTTGTTTCAAATTGAGTCTTAAAGTTGATGTTCTGCGACTGCGAGTTACATGTTTTTCCATATGTGACTCTTGATGTCGTACTACACAATCTTGCTTCGAGTTTTAGATGTAAATTGGTGTCATCAGGAAAGAAGTTTGAGCTTCATGAAAATGGCTAAAATATTGTCTCTGTTTATTTATTTATACCTTTTCTCTTTGCTGGCCTAACTGGATAATACAGGTGGTGCTATACTTCAACAGATGTGGACAAAAAGACCGACTTCTTAGCTTGGTAATTATTCCCGTCTTTTTTCTTGCCAAATCTTGTCCACTTTTGTTCGATATTGGGTTTTGTCATTTTAAGTTAGTGAACATTAAACATTAATATTTTCTTTCAATTTTGTTTGCATTACGCAGTTATGGTGGGTTTACATATGTGTTCAAAAAGCGGTGGCAACAGTTCCCTTTTGCCTGTAATAAACCATCATCTGTGATCAATTTCATATTTTCCGTACCTTAGATTATACAAGTTTTTCCGCAGCTTTTCGTAACATTTCAGATGTTGTGCTAAGCACGACTATGTTCTTTCTTACTCCTCCTTCTATAGGTTGAAAGATGTCTATGCTTGTTGTCTCTATATTGATCTTGTTTGTATTGGTAAATTATATTTTGTTTATATCTTACACTTTGCCTTTGAATATAAAATAATAGGCATGGATTACATGGGCGAAAAATGTTGGCATGCACATAAATATGAGACAGTACATTGGAAAATCGATGTGCATTATGCGACAGTACGATTACAAAGAGTAAGGATTCCTGCTCCAGTAATAACTTTGGGAATTCATATATTCCCATGGAATTAGCAGGTTAAGGCCATTTTCTTAAAGATGCTTTCACACATGATTCATACACTTAATTTTTTGTCCTGGTTTTGTTCGCATTAGAACTGTTTATTTGAGACGAACTGTTATTTTCCGATATCATTTTGTTCCATATTTGTATTATCATAATTCTACCACTAATTTATATCTAAATAATGGGCAACGACACCGCGCATTGCGCGGTGCACATGATCTAGTATATATATATATATATACACACAGCTGAGGCATTTACAAGCTTCTCATTCCCCTCCAGTTCTTGCATATTTCTTTTTTTCTTTCTGAATGACTCGGGGGGGGGGGAGGGGGGAGGCCGGAGAGAAAGCCTGAGAAACGGCTACCACATCCAAGGAAGGCAGCAGGATTCGCAAATTACCCAATCCTGATACGGGGAGGGTTGTGACAATAAATAACAATACCGGGCTCGATAAATCTGGTAATTGGAATGAGTACCATCTAAATCCCTTAACGAGGGATCCATTGTAGGGCAAGTCTGGTGCCAGCAACCACGGTATTTCCAGCTC